GCCTTCCAGAATGAGAAGTACTATCGGGGGATCTGGGCGGCTGTGGCCAGAGTCAAGGCTCGTGGTGAGAAGGTCATCGTCCTAGATATTGGGACAGGAACGGGCCTGCTGTCCATGATGGCCGTCACGGCTGGAGCGGACTTCTGCTACGCTGTAGAGGTACAGATGCTCTTCCTCTGTGCCAATGGATGCTGTGCATTAACATGATAGGTTCTCCCTCATTTTCCCACATTTCCCTTGTATACCATCTGATACTCCGTTGTCTGTCTGACATCTAGCTTTGACTGGCACCGAGACATGGTACACATGCTGGAGTGGTTTCACCAGAAACTATATTTCTGGCTACTCTTGTCCCACACCGTCTGGCCACTCTTGTCCCACACTGTCTGACAGCTGTCACATGGTCATTGCTGGTCTGAACCCGTGCTCTGATGACGTCCAACACACCCAGTCTACCTGTATGTGTGGCCTCCAGTGGCCCCTCAGTCAAACGTATCAGTGTGTATGCTAACATCACTTCACTTTGGACTGTGAAATGGGTGGACATACTGTAGCAGCAATGAATTTAACTGGTTATTGATTAATTTAATGATTAGCTTTTCAGTTCACAACACTATTGGTAACTATCAAAGGTCAGAGGTCACTGAAAAAATAAACTGCTTGTTTTTTTTCTGACCAACAGTCCAAACCCCAGATATGCGTGTTAGATGTAGTTAATCTAGTCAAAGCCACGGCTAAACGTGCTCAGCCGTGCACACAGTCCTGATACCTGTAAAGGGTTGTTCTGTTCTCTCAGCTCTGTGGGAGACACACTAATGCAGAACCTTCAATAACGAGACAGAACCTGTGCTGTCTACCAGTCAGCGTGCTCCCAACTCTGCAGGAGTTTTGGCCTGTTTGCTGCTTACAACAAAAGGATTTCGTTGACTTTTCCAACTCCATAAAACCTTCTCCTGTGAGGAGGAACAGGAGAATAACAATTTGAATAGTTGAAGCACTAACAGACTATTCTTTTGTGTTTTGCTGTTAGCCTCTCACTGCTCGTACCCCGGTCCGCCTTAAATCTTAGGTATCGTCTCTGTATCCTTTGTGCCTGCAGGTCTTTAAGCCGATGGCTGAAGCAGCCCAGTGCATCGTGGAGAAAAACGGCTTCTCTGACAAGATTAAGATAATTAACAAGCACTCTACTGATGTCACCGTGGGGCCAGGTCAGACTGGGCAGCGTGCACACAGCTGAACAAAATGAATATGTCCCATGGAAAACGTTTTCTATAACACCATGCAGGTTGTCTTTCAAATGTTCCGGTCTGCTGCGATGAGGTGTGATTGTGATTTTTTTCCAGGTGGAGATATGCAAATGAAGGCCAACGTCCTGATCACAGAACTGTTTGACACAGAGCTGATAGGTGAAGGAGCCCTGCCCAGCTATGAGCACGCTCACCAAAACCTGGTCCAGGTGTGTGTCAATGTGATTTGACACTTGTGTCTTTCTGTATTTGCACAAATCCAAGACTGATGTTTATCTGCAGGGCTCGGACTAATCATAAGCTGTTGTTTTGGCAAGAATAGATTGTGACAGTGTGGGTGAAATGCGCATCTCCAGTTGGTGTTCAGACTTGTCACCTGGTGTCCCTTCACCCTGCAGGAGGGCTGTGAGGCGGTTCCTCACCGGGCCACTGTCTACGCCCAGCTGGTGGAGTCAGAGCTGCTGTGGAGCTGGGCTCAGCTGCAGCCAGTAGAAATAGAGGGGGCCCGTCTGCTGCCTCCACCTGCTGTGGGCCACTGCGCCGGGGCTCATTCCGTGTGTGACATCCAGCTGAGCCAGGTGTCTCCTGACAGCTTTGCCCCACTGGGTCCTCTCTGCACCATGTTCAGGTACGGCAGTGAGGAAGGTGTCCTCCTCCTAGGCTCTATACTCTCAGCATCCAGTTTTTCACCTTTGTCTGCTCTCCATCCTTCATTTCCAGTGTGGACTTCAGTAAACAATTAAGCAGCGCCTTCCAGTCCCACTCCTCCCAGTTTGTGGCTCAGTCCAGCGGTCGAGCCCAGGTGGTCCTGTCATGGTGGGACCTTGACATGGATCCCAGTGGGAACATTGTGTGCACCGTGGCTCCCAGCTGGACGTACCCACAACCAGAGATGGCTCCTGTGAGTCATATGACATGGTGCTACGAGTCACTAATTTGGGCTGGTCGGCCCATCTTAATGCTGTGCTGTGTTTTAGTGGCGGGACCACTGGATGCAGAGTGTGTACTTCCTACCTATGGAGAGCAGGGTGACGGCAGGAGAGGAGCTCAGCCTGACTGTCTGCCACGATGACTACAGCCTGTGGTACAGCCTGCAGTCTCACAGGTACACCGGCTCAGAGAGCACAGACTGTTTGAATCCTGACCAGTGCAGTAGCACACTCGGCAGGAGACGTCATCCGAGTGCTACTCAGCAGTCGACAGACTCTCACCACGAAGTCCATTTAGTAGCTGCTTTGGTGCTTTCAGTGAAGTCACAGCAGGTGAGGTTTGTCCAGTTGTTGCTGGACTGTAGATAGTGATCCACTTTAATGAGCTCGCAGCCGAGCTGGTGGAGTTGTGTTCTGGCTTCGTGTTGCATCAACCACAAGTCACCTCAGACATGCACAGTGACAGTTGGATGCTAAATGGCTGACAGGTAATTTCACTTATTAGTTTGATCAAGCCAGACAAAATTGATGCTGTGTATACGTATGTTTTATAAAATAAGACTATTGGTTTTTGATTGTTCAATATAGTCGTCATTTTAATTTCTAAAAGTATCTATTTACTTACTGCCATTCTTTAAAAGCAGCTCATTCAGCAGAGATTAACAGACAAAACGGCTCATTTAGAATCGGCTAACAGACCGTGGAGACCGTATAACGCCAGGGTCAGCGTGGTAATAACATGACCTGACTGAGCTGAGACGTGAGGTAGGATGATGAGGATTTTATCCTGTGCCGTATGTCGCAACGTTTGGGACACCTCATTACCTTCTGATGCAAAGACAGGTGGCTCCTCCAGCTGTAAACGGGGCAGAGTGAAGGGGGAAATGATGATGCCGGTGCTGACAGGTGGAACAGTGAGAGAGCACTTTGTTTTTAATCACCACTATAGCTGTGAAACATCTTGTCTGCCATGCCTCTCTGCCAAATCATTTACGTCATCAAGAGTTCAGAATTTATTACAGCCTGTCTTTACTCTGTAACAATCTCAGAAGACAGACCTGCTAGTGGCTTAAGTATTCTTGTTCCTACTGATTTAAGAAAAAAAAGAAAAAAGTACGTTCTCTGGAAAGGCAACATTTGTGTGCCCTAGTAAATGTTTTTACTTTTACCTTTTGGTAAGAGCTGCAAGAGTTCTGTATGGAAAACTGACCAACAGCTACCTCGGCTTCAGTAAGTATTCATGCCCCACCAATTTTTGCACCATTTACATTGTCGTGGGTAAGTGGTTAAATTATCGTTGTCCATCAGTCTGCACTTAATAACCCATAATGACAAAGTGAAAACATTTTTAGAAATTATCAAATTTATTGAAAAAACTAAAACTTTTTAATAAGAGATTAAAGTAATTCACCACGTAGAAGTCCCTTTGGCAGCGGTTAGAGCTTCCAGTCTTTCTTGGGTAAGTCTCTACAGGCTTTACACACCTGGATTTGGGCAGTTTATCCAATTCTCTCTGGCAGATCCTCCCAGTCTCTGTCAGGCTGATGGGAAGAGAACTCCATCTTCAGACCCACAGATGTTGTCTGGGGTTGGACTTGGGGCTCTGGGCCATTCTGGGGCAGTCAGACTCGTCCTGTGTCTTGGCTGTATGCTCCAGGTCAGCATCGTGCTGAAAGGTGAACCGGCACCCCAGTCTCAGGTCGCTGCACTCTGGAGCAGGTTTTCTACAAGGACCGGGGGGGTCCTTGTAGAAAACCTCTGTTTGGCTGCGTTTACTCTTCCCTCAGTGGGTATCATTGTGCCTGCTGCAAAGCAGTTCCGTTTGCACATCTCACAGAGAATTAAATTCAAACAGGATGCGTCTGCCCACAGTCTGGAGTCAGAGTAGAGTCTGAATACTTTTGTAAATGAGAGATTTCAGATTTTGAAAAATGTTTTTACTTTTACTAGATTGATTTAAAAAATGGCGATATATCCATGGAAATTTACGTCTGCCTCACAGCTAGCACATTTCAGTGTCCACAAGTCTCAGTGTGACCAGGCTACAGTAATGACTGAGCGTCCCTCGGCTGTCCCTCTGTTCGTTTTCAGCCAGAAGGATCCGCAGACCAAAGCTCCTCCCTCTCGGCCGTGTTGTACCTGCCAGGCACACCTGGTTTGGACTCGGCCTCGTTTCGGTGAACTCAACGACAGACGGCGCACAGAGAGCTATGTCAGTGCGCTGCGCAGCGTAAGTCAAGCCAGATCAGAGTCCAGACTGCTGGTCCAGGAGTTGCTGGGTGTGATAGTTCTCTTATTTACCTGCTGTGTTCCCCATAGGTGCTGAGAGAGGACACTGTGTGCCTTAGCGTCAGCGATGGAAGTCTGCTTCCTGTGTTTGCTCACATGCTTGGAGCCAAGAAGGTATTGTGCTTTGACCACATGTGCACATACTCTACCTTTACAAACTAAACACCATACCCAGACTCGTGTCTTGGCTTCTACCCAGGTCTTCAGTTTGGAAAGCTCTAGAATGTCCAAGGAGATTATTGAGCAGGTAAATGACAACGATTTAGGGCAGTAGTTTATCTTTGAGAGCAGAGGTTCCAGAGGAAGGTTAAGAAGTGCTAATACTGGTGTTTTTTTGCAGGTGTTGGAAGCCAATTCAATGAAGGAAGGTGTCGAGCTGTTGGAGATCAGGCCTGACCAGCTGAACAGTAATGACCTAGGCGGAGAGCAGGTGCCTTTAGTCGTACAGTACATTACTGTCAGCCAGTATCTTTGTTGGTTGTATCATTAGGTAGAACCAAAGCTGGATGTCAGACTCCAAAGCTGCATTTTAATAACTCATTATCTGAAGCAACACATCTTTATATTAAGGCCATTTTTTTAGAGAGACTTCAACCAAATTGTTATGGATCAGGCACAGCGGCGTGGTGGTTAGTGCTGTCACCTCACAGCATGAAGGTTCAGGGTTCGAGCCGACCCAGGGCCTTTCTGTGCGTGTGTGTGGGTTCTTTCCAGGTGCTCCAGCTGCCTCCCACAGTCCAAAGACATGCAGCTTAGGTTGACTGGCGACTCTAAGTTGCCTGTAGGAGTGTGTGTGGTTGTTTGTCTAAATGTCAGCTCTGTGATCGACTGGCGACATGTCCAGGGTGGACCCCGCCTCTCGCCCAGTGTTAGCTGGGATTGGCTCCAGGCCCCCGTGACCCTATTCAGGATAAGCAGTATAGATAATAGGTGGTTTTACTACCTTCTTCAACATCATTCCCAGCAGTAGCAGTCTGAGCTGCTCTGAGCAACCGACTCTGCACAACCTGCCCAGCACCAAACAGCAGACAGTTAGGATTTAGCTGGTGAACAGCTAACAGCATGCAGCAGCTAAAAGCCAGATAGTGTTCCCAGGAGTTGGTGGAGAACAGAAATGGAGTGAAAAGGACTACATTCACTGGGCGAACAGAAATATGAGTGCGATTGAATGCTCATGTTGCTCCTTATCTGCTGGATGTGTAGTAGCCAGCAGCTGATAATACTGTCGGTATACTGGGCTCCATTCACCTGGTGCGGAGGCATTTTCCTGTTGGTTTTTATTGATGTTTTAAAATAATAAAGCACACTGCAAATGTATACTGCGCTGCAGTTTGGTTGCCTAGCAGCTGATGAGATGTAGCTCAGCGGAGTGTATGCTGTCTCTCGGACAGATCTCAGTCCTGATGGGTGAGCCGTACTTCAGCACCAGCCTTCTGCCCTGGCACTCCCTGTTCTTCTGGTACTGTCGGACCGCCGTGGCAGGCCTCCTGCGGCCTGGTACCACCATCCTGCCCTGCTCTGCCACACTTCACATGATGGCTGTGGAGTTCCAGGTGGGGCACATACAGACAGGCATAACTTCATGTTTTCTAATTTCTCCGTGAGCCCAGATGAACATCCACTGTTGCTTTAGTAGTATTTGTTTTAATTTTTCTTTTGCGAAGCCCAGATATATCTTGTCACCTTCTTCATTAGCCATCAGCATTCAGGGCCTCCTTGTCTCGGAATGCCTCCACGCCGCTGTTAGATGTGGCTGTTTGGCAGAGGCTATAAGAGTGTTCTATGGAGGCCAGTGTCACTTTTTCAAGCTTCGGATTGCAGTGTGTGTTGAATGTCTTCTGTCTTTACCATGTTAGGATTTGTGGAGGATAAGAGCACCATGTGGAACATGTGAGGGCTTTGATGTCGCGCTCATGGATGAAATGGTCCAGGTAATAGGTGTATGTAATTCATTTATTTACATAGCTGTCGGTCTTTACATCCACTGAGGTGTCCCTTGCTGCTACTTGTATGATATTTTGATCATGGAGAAGAAAACAGAAAACTGAGTCTGTTTCTTTAATAACAATTCATCTGCCCCTCCAGCGATCTCTAGATTTCCGTGAGTGCCGTGAGGCAGAGCCCCACCCTCTGTGGGAGTACCCGTGCCGTGCTCTGACCCAGCCCACAGCCGTCATGGCCTTTGACTTTACACAGTGTGTCCCTCAGCATCCAGTCAGCAGTCAGGGCTCACTGCCTTTTATCAGGTACAGTCTCTCTGACATTATGACAGCAGTTAAAAAACTGTAAGATGGACTAGACAGGAATGTGGGTTGTGAGCAGGTGGTGAGTGGATTTTGTTGGAGACTGAGTGAAAGCTTCAGTTTATCCCAAAATGAAACCTCAGCCACTGTCTTCTTGCAGCGGTGACGCCGTGAACCCCACTGAACTCTGGGAACAGACACTCTAGAGTTCTCGAGGCAATGGAATAAATTAGTGGTGCACCGAAATTTCGGCCACCGAAAATTTTCGGCCGAAAAGGCCATTTTTATTTCGGGCCGAAATAAAACAACACACCGAAAAGGCACGCCGAAAATGCCCCGCCCCGCCCCGAGGCGTACACTCCCTCACTTTCCGAGATGTTTGACGAAATTCTACAGAAAAGCGCCCCGATCCGCAGCGGTGGAACAAGCGCAGCCTTGCAACAACTGGACACTTATCTAGGTGCCAGAAGCGACAATCCACTCGACTATCCACTCGACTACTGGCGCTCCAGCAAAGAGCGCTTTCCATTACTTGCACGGGTTGCACGCAGGTATTTATCTGCCCCAAGCACAAACACAGACAGTGAGAGACTCTTCAGTGCAGCATCTCATGTGCTTAATGAGAAGAGGAACCGTCTCTCCGGCCAAAAAGCGGAGCAACTTTTGTTCCTAAAGAAAAACCTGCCACGTTTGTTGAACTAAACAGCAGTCCAATTTTGCATAGTGCATAGTTGCATTAAAATTTGTGTAGCACTGCTAGCTACCTAGGCTATGTTGTTTACAGTTTGTTTGGAAGTTCTATTGCTGTTTTTGCACCGTTTTGCATTGTTTTGCACAGCAATTTAAAATGTTTGAGTGTTACATAAAACTGTTATTGAATGTTACATAAAACTTGAATAATATTATTTGGTATTGCTTATTAAAAATATTTTAGATTTTAGTTTTTCATTTTAGATTCATCAAATTCAAGTAAATATATATATATATACGCGCGCGCGCGCACACACACACACACACACACACATACACAATTATAGAGTAAGCGTGTTTTAAAAATTTGAAGTTTTTAAAAGAAGCCATTTTCGGTTTCGTTTCGGTTTTCGGCCAAGTGCATCCTAAATTTTCGGTTTCGGCCCAGAATTTTCATTTCGGTGCATCACTAGAATAAATCACACAACCTGCTGAAAGTATAGAGTAGGACAGGAGTACAGTCCACAGCTGACACCCAAGAACTGGATCAACAGTTTGATCAACCTGATTGTTGATTGTCTGTCTGCTGCCGCAACAAATAGAATGATGCTCTGGTATAAATGTTGAGATGAAATGCTCGGTTTGGTTCTAAAATGGTGCGGGTCCTCTACACGTTCTCAGTGTTATACATCTGTTTCAGGATTGGTCGTTGCCATGGTGTCGCGTTGTGGATGGAATACCATCTAACCAATGACATCACTGTCAGCGCGGGTCTGACTGGACCAGTCAGTGAACAGGTATCACGGCGCTCTTCCTTCCTTCTATCCCGAGCTTTTCCTACTTAATTTGGCTCTCACACAGTACGCATCATCTTATCTTGGTAGTGTAATATTTGATTTGATTTGATTTATTCTTTCAAGCATGTAAAAACTGTTGATATGACAACACACATAATTTTACACATAATCCAATATCAATTTGCTTATACCTAGTACATGCTTGAATGGAGTAGGAAGAAGTCAGACTTATCCAGTCCTACCCCATGACATCATCTTACCATCATTGGTTTGCAAGCAGTAAATGATTCACTTCTACCCACACACATATTGTACTAAAAAAAGATTTTAACAGTGTTAACATTCTTACATCACACAAGTAGTATACTAATATATACAACGTGGTAATGTATATGATCTGATGTTTAAAATCTGGGCATGTTTGCTCTTATCCCACGTTGCACTCGACTGTATTTTTGTTGTTTGATCACTGAGCTCCTCCAACAGTTGCTGAGGAAAGCTTCAACTGCAAGAAGTGCCATTTTGTATGTTTTTAGAGTAAATGCCACTGCCTGAAGCCATTCAACTCTGACATCAACAAGAAGGTGCAAGAGCAACATAATCACGTTATGAGAACAATTTAATTAACAATTTTAAATGCTGAGGAAATCTCAGATAAGTTTATTTCTAATGTATCACTGGTGTTTGAGAGAAAATGCTCATTAAGAGTGATGTGGGAGCTTCAAGTAATTTTTAGCTGCCAAGTTGCTCCAGTCACCAGTTGGAAGCAGCTGCGTGAAGCCAGGTGACATTTGAGGAGAATTGTATTGGGTTTTCTGACCTGCATGACGAGTCCCTGTCCTGCCTTCTCCTGCAGGGTGACTGTGAGTGGAGTCGACACAGGAAGCAGGGAGTGTATTTCTTCAGGTCCCCCTGGGAGAGCTCAGGTGATGGCAGAGCTGCGGTGTCTTACAGCTTCAACTTTGAACCCAGTTTAGGAGACATCAAGATGGACTTCAGCATCAGGTCTTAGTGATGAAGAACGAATGCTTTACCTCATGTTTGCATTTTGGGTGCATATTTATCATCAGTGTTCTGACTGAAGCTGCCACTTGCCTTTAAGATGATAACTTGATATCTGTAATGTGACTGTTATTATCCCCAGAACTGACCAGAATCCTCCATTTTTAGACTGTGGAACATGAAAACTGCCCACAAATTATGATAATAGTTATATTGGTCATATTAAGGGCTTCCCATAAGCAGCACAGTAATGAATCATGTCACGTGAAAGGCAGATCACACTGACTGACTGATGGATACTTCCGCCAGTCGTTTCTGGTGTATTTGTAATAAAATGGAATATTTTATCATAGTCATTACAGAGAGAGACCTCAAAGGACCTAATAAGGTCTCCTAATATGATAGTTCCTCAGACCTTGCTTGATTAGGAATCATCAGGTTGTGCAAGGATTGAAGATGTTCCAAGACTCTCGTATCTGCTCTGAGGAGCAGGGATTGAGGAGGCTACTGCAGAGCCGTGAGTGAGGTCACATGATCCTTCACCGGTGTTTTATGGACCTACCACACCCCTTTATTAGACAGCGGTTACTGATTGGACGCTTCAAAGGATCAGACGAAAGGATGGCTCACGTCTCTGAGAATGTTTCCTTGATTCCTCTCACCTCACACTTCTTCCTTGCATCTTTTCCTGTCATCTAACCCTTTAGACAAAATCCTGGCTTTAGTGTATTAAAATGAAACTAGACACCACTTCCTACCGTCAGTTTGTTTTTATACTGATAAACGAACCCTTCCTGGGTATAGTGATTTCTATGTGTGTTAAATTGTATGGGGAAGCAAGATGCAGCTCTGTGTACTCTAATTGCATTAATGATGATCTATGAACAGAATTTTAAATGACTAAAACAAATGCATTTCAGTGCTTTTATAAAACCTCACACCATAATTTGCCTAATGAGCAGGAGTAAAACCACAATGACATTTTGCCATTTCATTCTGATCTCACATGAAGAAACTAAGACAACTTGACTTGCTGTTGCTACTGTTGATGTATGACAGCATCAGACTCACTACTGGTGACAGACATTTACACATTTAACTTGAAGCTCTGAACTCAGACAGAAGGTTTAGATGAACAGAACTTGTCCACAACAGCGATGTCGTCGGCTGAAAGAGCAGCGTCTACTGTACATGTGTGCTGCTGACGAGATGATGCCTTGGTGTATGGGACAGAGGGATGCAGGGAGGAACTGAATGTTTTGAAGCATGAGTGATAAATATGTGAAAGCTGCTGTCTCAAGCATCTGTCAGTGTGGTGGTGTTCAGTACAATCTTCTCTCCTGGTTTGAATGCTGGCATCCCCAAGTATGGACAGCTGGCACATCGGAATGCATCGCCAAGGTAACACTGCCACACAGAAATGAAAATCATATTTCTTCACGCTGTTAATAGGCGAGTATGACAGGAAATATGTCAGAACATGGTGGGGATTCGACACCCAACAATTCAATTTTACTCACACTTCCACAGGCAGATTTGGGTAGATCTGTCTTCTGTTTCCCTTTACGCTCCCCCTCCAGCTCCTCCGCAAGACCACATGTGCTACACAAAGACGCAGCACATTGCATGGTTAATGTTTTAGTCCCTTCAAAGTGCAGATACAATCCAACATACCCATAGCATTCTTTTGTCTGTGCTTTAAAAGCATTTGTGTGGAGACCTCACCAGTTCTTGCAGGCTTTCTTCTTTCCAGCTCCTTCTCCACAGCTCAGAGCTTTAAGAGAAGCTGGATCTGGCTTCTTCATGTCATCTTCATCCAGCAGAGCATCAGAATCCACCAGATTCTCAAAGAAAGGGCAAGAGAAATGAAAAGACAGCATGAATGAAAAGAACATGCTGAATATGAAAAGGTTGTGTGAGGTGGTACACGGTGGTCAAGAGAAACCATCTCCCTCTCTTCCAGATGACCAACCTGTGTTTAGTGATTTGAGAGATAGAAATTGTTAACTCACCACATCGTCATCATTCATGTCGTTGGCTGAGAGGACCCACATTTTGACAACGTTTGGATCCAGAGCAGGTTTCTCTGCTGAAACCACAGCTTCACATCAACATTGGCAACAATTTAGAACATTCAGTACCATTTCACACAAAACTGAGATCATAGATCTGTTAGATCAGTAAATACAGTTAGCTCAATAATTACATATATCGAAAGAAAAAAATCTGACACACCAATGCTAATAATGGACACTAACTGAAGACAAAAAGTAAATGAAGAATCCTTGATATTTACTTGGTCACATATCTATACATCCTGCGTTAACTTCTCAAATCAAACTTAAATGTCTTAGTACTTTATAAGTCATATTTGTAGAGCACCAATGTCATTTCATCCAGCTTGCAAGACACGACTGGTCGTCATCATTTCTTTTAGCCTGGGTCAGTCCAGTGTTGTGGTACTGAAGTCCAGGACTCAAATTGCCAAGCAACATGGTGAGGCAATACACAAGAGGTTCTGTTAATCGAATATTTTCCAGAATTGACATTCTTTTTATTGATGGAAAGATCTGAAGGCCATCCATGATTTTGGCAGATTAGAGCACAGAGGCCAATTTACACTAACTTAAAGTTAGGTTGGGCTACCACAAAGCCCAAATGGTTGCTATGGCACTGATAAATGACCTACTCAATGCACCTCGCTCTCTGGGAGCTGACAGCCTGTTAAAGAGCCACGGAGGCGTCTGTGACCGCTACTGGTCACAGAGGGGAGCAGTGGGAGTGCATGCAGCAGATTCCTCCTGGTGAAGTGAGGGCATCCGGATAGGGAAATCTCACTGTCAACTCACTCACATAGAGAAATGTTTCCCAAATTCAAAACTTTAGCTGAAGTGGAGCTGGAAAGTCCGGTCTCCAGTGCGGCAGCAGAGCGCGGGTTCAGCTTTCACATCTAAATTTTAAGAGCCACGAGAAGCCTAGTGACAGTTACCTCAGCAGCAGGCTGCAGCAGGTCAGCTGACTTAGCCTACCTTCTCCTAAATGGGCTGTTCATATTTTAATGGTAAATGTCTACTTTTGTAAAATTGCTGTGTTCATATTTGCTTGTTTATTCACATTGGTTGCAGTTTTTTTTTTTTAGCGGCTCCACTGTCACTGCCAAAAAAACAGTCATGTTTCATGCAGTGTTGACATGAAAAGTGGCTGCACATTAGCTTGTTCTGTATATTAATTGTTTAAAAATGAAATGAACATATATAAAATGGTGAGAGCTGTGTCTGTTGTGTTTAGTGTAGACCTTGATAACTCGGACTCGGGTAACAGGTACTCAATTTGACTCGGATTATTCTTTGGCGACTCAGACTCAAACACTGGGGACTCGACTTGGACACCTGGGAACTCGACTCGGACACTGGGGACTCCAGACTGGGGGCTTGACTACATCACTGGGTCAGTCAGAGTCATTTTAACCATGAGACGCTACAGTACTGTCAGAATCTGACAAGTGGTTTCAGGGCCATCACGTGATGGACAAATGAACAAACCTAACCGACGCACAGTGATGAGTGACATGTACTCTTAGAAAAAGGAAACTGAGCTTACAGACCCACCTGGCTTAGGCGTCTTTTTCCCAAACGACAGTTTAATCTGGCTAGATGACCCCACCTCATAATTGGGTTTAGAGGCAGATATGCGGACTTTAGACAGGGTGTCTCCTTGGTAACCAGTGGCCGCCCTGAGGGAGCTCGATGCCTCTGGTCTCAATTCTGTTTTACTGACCTGGATGGAAATGAAGCAAGAAGGTCAACAGATTGAAAAGGAGACTATTTGCAAAAATGTTTAAATAGGAGATTTATTTTATGGGGTTGAGAAAAGGATTATGTTTATGCGATTCTTTCATGCCCTGCCAGTGCAACACCTGTCTAGTGCACAGCAGTGCCAGCTGCAATTGTAGGAAAAAACTTGCAATTGTAAGTAAAACCTCATAACCTTTGTGTCTGAGTGTGTTTTACACTGGATCCACTTACCTCCGCCACTGACATGAAGCCTGCCAACTTCAGAGCTGACATCAGCTTGTCAGCAGTCCTCACATTCTGTGCCTCAGCTCCTGGAACAGAAAAAGAAACAAGTACAACATATGACCCAAAAGCATCTGCAGCATTTCCCATTTACTTTGCCACGTTATGGAGACTGCACCATGGAGGATCTGGGTAAAAGGCCTTTCCTGGCTCAGAATGTAAAGAGCATAATTATGATATAGAATCCACTAAAACATTTAAAAGCACCTAAAAAAAGAAAACATTAAGGAAAGCATGACTCATATAATGTACACCATTTAAAGTTGAAAATTTCCACCAGTGAAATATTATATAGGAGACTGAATGCCAGAGATGAGGTAATCCTAGTCGGCTAAGACCGATTAGTGCAGACAGGATTTCAAAGATGTATGACCTAGGAGTCACTGGACTGGGAAAAGCAGGGATTCTGATGTTTCCTTCCCTCATATGCCATCTGCAATCAGCCTAACCATGGCTGCAAACAAAAGTTGAGAAACTGTGTTGTGTTAGCAGAGAGGCTCTTAGGTCTGTGATGTCTCAGGCTCTATCCTGAGTTTTTCCATTTAAACAGAAGATGGGCCGGGTGGTGTCTGTCCCTGAGAGGGTTCTGTGCTTTCCTCCTACAGCGCTGTTGGTACAGTGTCCCCACAGAGGGGAGGTCAGAGCCACTGCAGGCTGGATGACTCACCTCTCAGCCTGTATGGTATTCCCAAACCACACAACAATGCCGCTAGTGAGGATACTTTCAACGAGTCCTTTATAGGCCTCGGTGAGGGGCTGTCATCTGAGTCAGTCATTTTTCACCAATCTAATAAAGGCGCCGCTGCCCTTTCCTCACTGTTGCCATGGTGTTTTCCCCCAACTAAGCTTTTCTGTGATTTTAAAATGCATCATAAAGTTCTGGAACAACTTCACCCACTCTCAACGTGCACAGACAAGAAAAAAAAAACTAACTGGAAAATGGAAAGTCTTTAACTTCAAAGTTGCTCAAAACACAAGTATTGCTGGACTTTGTTTTCCTGTGATTTCCAGAAAGTTGTAACTGTCAACTCTTTCCACCCAAGTCCCCTTGATGGTAACAGGCTGCAAGGAAATGGCTCTCCTCACAAAATCTAGTATTAATTCTTTAGTTTTGTCTGCATTAAGAACAAGATTGTTGTCCTCTCCATAGACAATGATTTTATCTTTTTTCTATATTATGATTCATCATGTTTCTAATGAGACCTAGGATGGTTCTATAGTCTACATATTTAATTGCAACCCCAAGCAGAAAAAGTTGGGACAGTATGTAAAATCAAATCATCACTCTGCTATGAGCGATATAATCACATGGGCTCAGGATGGCGTTGGGTCACCTGGGGGTAGGGTAGAACTTTATTGATCACAACCTGTGTCAGGCTCTACAATGCGTAATTGCATCCAGAAATGCTGCTTAAACCTGTGCTGTGCCAAAAGGAAGCCCCGTGTCAACAGTGTCCAGAAGTCGACTGCTCTGGGCTCAGAGCTATCTGGGATGGACCATCACACAGTGGAAATGTGTACTGTGGTCAGACCAATCAGTATTTCAGGTCTTTTTTTTTAAGGGAATGGACATCATGTGTTCAGGACCAATGAGGAAAGGGACTATCCAGACTATTGGCAGCAACAAGTCCAAAAGCCAGGGTCTGTCTTGGTCTGGGGTTGTGTCAGTGTCCAGGGCAAAGGTCACTTCCACTTCCGATGGCTCCATTAATGAACAATACACAGAGACCTTGGAGCAACATCTGCTGCCTTCAAGACGACATCTTTTCCAGGGACAATCATGCATATTTCAACAAGACAATGCAAAACCTCACAATGCCACATTACCAAGGCCTGGCTGTGGAGGAAAAGGGTATGAGTGCTGGACTGGCCTGTCTGCAGTCCCCACCTGTCCACAGTAGAGAATGCAACACAAATTGCATCAACAAAGACCCAGGACTGTTGTGCCCTTTAAGACTTATTTGCAGAAAGAATGGGACAAACTGACACAATGAATCACTTGGTGTCCTCAGTCCCTAAACGTCTTTTAAGTGTTGTGAAAAGGAACGGCAACTTCACACTTCAAGTATAGAATGAAGTGCCAGGACAACTGCATCATCCACTGATCTGTTCTGGCGGTATGGCAAACGGTAGATGATCCACCGTAACATCCATATATCTTCCACACTCCAAAGTCTGATCTAGATCCAAGTTATATTCTGGATCTGCTGATCCTGAATGTTCAAATTTACAAGGCTCAAGGAAAACTTGCTACTGTGAGACAACAACAATTAAGATCAAATTGTAGCTAAAACTCTACTGATTCAGTAGAGGGTCAACAAGTTTGATGTATCTGCAAAGTTATGGAGCTTGAGCCTGAAGAAATTTGCCGTTAGTGAAATATTGTTTTTCTTGAATAATTTCCAAACTACTAATGATATCAATGTGATTCCAAATGCCAGGGGTGGGCGTTCATGGTCACAGAATCATATTATGAGGATCAATCTATAATGGGAATATTGCTTTTAGGTGGAATGACATTATGGAGAAACTGAGCTGCCTTTGTGGAGGTTTATGCTCCTAGAGGGCAGTTTTATTTTAATTGGTGTCATTTCTTTCTAGAAAGTACTCTTTTTGATTTTCAAACATTCCTGCAATCCAACATTATATTTAAACTATATATGTAAAAGAATTTAGAAAAACACTGTTCTCTCACCAGTAACTGGTTCGTCCAGAACAAGCTTCCCACCAGGTTTGAGCACTCTGGCCATCTCAGCTAGTGTCTCTGAGCTGTGGATGGAGGAGCTGTCAGCCACAAGGCTGGACAGCACCCAGTCAAAGGCGGATGCTGAATGGGAGGCTGGGGGGTGGAGAGGAAAGACAAATTTTACACCTGACTTTTCCTGTGAAACATAAATGTATATAGCTGTACCTGAATTTATTTATGATCTTATAATTTATGGTGATAACATTTGTGATTCAGGCTAATAAAGCAAGTGTTTGTTGACATAGAAGTCTTCCATGGTTTTTACAGACAGGCCAAACATCACTCACACAGCAAAAGTCTGTCCATGTTCTCCACCGACACTCTGCCATCTGCACCAACAGCGGCACCCAGCTCCTCTGCATAGTGTTTAAGGACTGCTGGTGTGGAAGGCTGAGCCCAAACAAACAGCACCTCGTCTCCTGCTTTGATGCCAAGTTCCGCCATGATTTCCTGAAGAAAGTAAAGATTCACTGAGTTGTTACAGGTCTTTAATTTAAAAAAAAAAAAATCACAGAGCTAGCATACTTAGCAAGATTGAAGATATTAGGCAAGATATATTTTGTCTAACAAAGCTAAATAAACACAAGGGTAGTAGATACAAAACAAAGCAGTCTTAAGACTGGTTGGAAAATAAAGAGCATGGCTCATCTACTGTACGTCAGCTGAACTCACAAAGAAAATGAAGGGTTGTGCCGAAAGGAAAGGAGACACTTTTTATTTGGAAATCACACAATAAATGTTTTTTTTTTATGCTTAAACAGCTGCTTCAGTGAATGCCAATCCTGTACAACTGAAGACAAGTGTCTGTCGTTGATTGCAAACACAGTGACTTTAGGACCACAACATACGAGTCTATTATCCACGACTCGTGGCCCAGAAGGTTACTGGGAAACCAGCAGTCAGTCCAGTGAAAAAACTAAACATGATCATGACAAAGTTGCGATGACCTATCAGCTAGCTTGTCATGTTAATACAAGTATTACCCGATTATAAAAACTGTAGCGTTAGCATGGCCTCTAAAGTTCTCTCCTAAACCCATTTGTCTTAAATTAACTGTCAAACACCTTCAACTCATTAAGTAAGAACTCACCAATTGAATGAGTTAACAGGCCGATTAGCGCTAGCAGCGGTTCTACATCAAGCAAACGATGTGACCCACAGGCCACCGGCCGGTGCTCGTCGAGTTAGTACGCACGTTCACACTGCGAGACCCCGGTAACTTTAAGGCTAGCCGTGAACAAAATAACGTTATACTCGTGTTTTATATGATTGTCCTTAAATGCTTTCAGTAGCCAAATTACGGTAAACAACGCATATTCAATTGCACGTACTCAGTGACTTACCTGCTGTCAGTTACAATGTCAAGTTCCACAAACAAACATTTCCTGGGCTGAATTTTCAAAATAAAATCTTTGCACTTTGTTGCAACATTATGGTCATTTAAAGTATCTGGTGAACATGTAACAGCTAGGAGATTATATACTTCGCGAGTAACACAAAGTAATCCCGATACAAATACCGCATAGCCACATTTGTTGTTGATATTTTCCACATTTACTTCTATAGAAATATTTTATGCGTTTTAGATCGAAAAGACTTTTATTTCTCTTGAGTCGCGCTAAAGTGACGCAATGTGTCCAGGCCTTGTGAGCCTAGCTGGACATGGCGGCGCTGCTGAGAGGTCTGCGGGCTGGAAGGACACTTCGGGGGCTGACCAGCGGTGAGACAGGGCTAATGTGTTATTGTATAGTCTAATGTTAATAATCGACAGGTAACCGATTCCAGTTCCGTCCGTTTCGTTTTTATGATGCGTGAAGTGGGAACGAGCCAGTCGTTAGCTGTCGTTACTTATCATTGCCAACGTCGCTTGTCACATAAGAAGATAATGAAGGACAGCCGGTTTGTTGGCTGAGGCTTTAAAAACTTGGCGTATACTTGTTTGTTGACACGGTGCCACGGTTTTGTTGACCTTCAATATTAGACATGCATGGTAAACACGTTCCTGCAACTGGGGGGCGTCTTCTCTGGTTATGCAAGCTGTCAAAATACTCCTGCTACATTGGCCATATATAGGTTGGATTTTTACGTATGAACGTAACGTTACGAGTGTTGTTGACGCAGAATCGTAAGAAGGCATTTGTGGAGAGATCTGCAGATAGGGTAAGGGAGAAGGCTTCCTGCAAAACTGAGAACTAGAGCGAATTATGTATGGACAAACAAAGTTATGCAACCTTTAGTATCACAGCGAAGATTTGTCCAATATATTTTCAACTTTTCAGTGTATTTTAGAGTAAATTATCTAAGATTTACCTGAATAAAGTGCAAAATTCCAGCCCAGTATTTGAGTTTTATTATAAGTGTGTGATTTAATTATGGAGTGGGGCTCTCTACCAGTCAAGCTAAACAGAATATTCCACCATCCTGTGACAGCTGCAACAACAGCAGCAAACACCCAGTGCAGCCTGAGACGAGGCTTCTACTGCACAGCGCTGAGGCTTCAGGATGAATCCAAATCTGACAAACCTCCCTCCTCCTCATCCATAAACTACCACGAGCACTACCACGCTCACTCTACTGAACAGAATGCAGCAGAAGCTTCCCAGGGAGACTCAGCATCTGACCCAGCAGCAGAGGAGGCTTCCAGGCAGAACACCAGGTCAGGTGATACAAATGACTTTGGCCTGCAAGATACTGTACCTATAGTGTGGAATATTTGCACTAATAAATGTAAGTCTGTTGTGTGCATTTACTGATGTCATCTTTCCAAGTACTGAAGTATAAGCAGTTGTGTCCTGAAGTAAAACGGGGTGACTCCTGCCCTCAGCTCATGCCATGTTCTTTCTCTCCCTGTGGTGTGTTTGTGCTACAACATGTGCGTCTTTGTAAAGCTACCAGAACCAGAGTGGAGAGCAGGGTGAAGACTATGAGACAGAGGAGCAGCTACAGGCTCGAATTCTGACTGCTGCTCTGGAGTTCGTCTCGCTACACGGCTGGTCAATAGAGGCCATTGCTGCGGGTGCTGAGGTGTGCTGCTATTAAAATGAAAAATGGCATAGCATTAAAACAACCACAGCCTATAGAGACTTCCTCTGGTGGGGCTAGCAGATTTCCTGTTGGCTTCCTGCATGAAGAAATAGTTTTAAATCATTTACTTATACTGCTACTAGCTTCCATCCTGCTCATTATCTCAAGCCAAGTTTGCAAAATGTAGCAGTAACATGTTGTCATGTTCTGTGTCCACAAAGACTATATGAAGGAACTATATGACATTCATAACCTAAGCATGTGGGGTGTAGTGCCCCCATTTCAGCCAGAGACATTTGCTGTATGACATTCTCCACATATCTCTGCACTTAATTCCTGTCAGCTCTCTGCTGTCATACCTACTGTGAGTAAAAACTAGAAATTACCCTGAAATACTTCAGGTAATTAAAAGTCACATATGAGAAGTAAAATAAATGAGTAGATCTGTTGTGAATGAAAATGTCAAATTGAGCATTTGTTGTTGTTGTGTTGGTACCAGACATTGGGCCTGTCCTCTGCTTCCACTGGAATGTTCTACAGCGGAGCTGGAGACTTGGTCCTACACTTTATCGCCCAGTGCAACTCGCAGCTGACAGAGATCCTGGCTGAACAACACAAGCAGGTGCAGCTGGGCCATGCTGAGTATGTATGCAGACACACACAGTTGTTTTCATTCTTCATGGGGACTTTACAGTGACTTTCAATCATTTCCTGTAGAATTACCCTAACCTTAATTATTACATCTGAATGCCTAACCCTATCTTAAGCCCAATGCTAACCCTAACCCTAAAACCAAGTCTGAACCCACAAACAGCTATTTGAAGGTGTGTACCGACAAAAATGTTCTCATTCCCATGGTCTTAAACTCTTACTGGTCCTTACTATGTACAACCATGTAAGTACACATACATCTGCAGTTCAGTTCTGCTGTTAAGATGTAAATTCACTTAACTTTATAAGGATAAGGATAATCACCTTTATTGGCCAAGTATGTTACACACAAGGAATTTGTTTCCGGTACAGAACCGATGGCAGCCATCTGCGGCGCCAACTCAACTGATGGCTCTAGCCATCGGGGGCAACGGGGGGGTTCAGTGTCTTGCCCAAGGACACTTCAACATGTGGACTGCAGGCACCAAGATTCGAACCTTCAACCTTCTCAGACAACTGCTCTACTACTGCACCACTGTCGCCTCCCCAAGCATAAAAAATACATTAGATGATTTTATTGACTTTAATATTCACTTTTCTTAAATTCCATTTTCCTTTTTCACTTGACACAAGTCAGTCATTTGCAGTCTGTTGTTTTGTAAGATATAAAAAGTGTTAATTATAGCTCCATAGTTCCATATTGCAGATTTTAGCTTCTAGCTTTGACAACTGTCTTTCAGACCAAAGAAGACTGCTGACTTTCTAAGAGATGCTGTAGAGACCAGACTGAGGATGTACATCCCCTACATTGAAACATGGCCACAGGTGTAGTGTGCATGATGAGTCACAGGGATGGCTTCTGTTACTGCTGACAGATGTCAGTACTGCAGCAGCAACTGCACTTGTTCCTCAGCTTTGTGCTCATGTCCCTTAGGCCATGAGCCTCCTGCTCCTTCCTCACAACATCCCAGACAGCCTGAAACAACTCTCCACCCTGGTGGACGACATCTGGTACTACGCTGGAGATAGATCAACAAATGTGAGTGGATCCCATCACCCTCAAGCGCCTTCATCTTCTGCTCATACCTTCCTGCCCTCCTTTCATCACCACCCCCACAATATTCGACCTGCCACCTCCCAGGTTACCCCACCACCACTAATACCTAACTCTGCCCCTCCATAGGAATAACTTGTTTATCTTGTACATGTATGTCTTATCATTGCTTCAGTCATTATTCTAAATCAGCACGTAGCTAATATAAGGCTGCAAGTTACCAGAGCAAAATAGCGGCCAGTAGAAGTTTAAAAGATGAGTCAACGACTTCAGTTGTGCTGTTTTCCTTTAATAAGGATTGCTTTAAGCATGATATTGCACTCTGAATTTTCTTAAAACAGGAAAATAATGGACATTCAAAGTGCTCTTCTCCTCAGTCTTAGCCATTGTTATCTTGTAATGGAACTCCTGATCATAAGTTACTCTTACACAATCTACTTTATAGCCTCAGTGTGACATCTGAAGTGCTTGTCAGTGTGACATCTGCTATAACAGACTAAATAGTCACCATATTTCACTGTAATTGCTTGTATTTGTAAAATGAAGTCTTGTTTTTCACCTTGTTTCAATGGCAAAAAGGGATGTAAATAATATATGTGAAGTCACATGTATTTTACAGTAACACAACACACATGTCAATACATACTTCGTAGCAGTGTAGATTTGGTTGTACATTCGGAAGATAATACATTTGGTACCTTTAAAGAGCCCATGGCACTTTTCCTTGTTTTTCACTTATCTACAATGTTGCAATAGTGAATTATCATCTTAGACATGACCTAAAGCTCAAAACATGAGGTGTACTTTTGTTCTAGTATTTCTATGCCAAAGCAACTCAGTGTATACAAGTCTCGCAAACTCTCACTCGTCGGAAAATGACTTCCTTGAATGGTCATAATCTCCAGGCAGTTGCCTGACATCCACCGGTGCCATTGTAAAAGCCGAGTTTTTCGACTGCGCCTGGTTTTGTGGATATATTTTCCCTCCTGCTGCTGCACTGTGACCAGAGGATGTGGAGAAAAATCCAGGGCCTGAGGTTACTGCATGTCCAGGATGTTCCTCTACAGGAACTGGCTGTTTTACCTGACTAGGTCTAACCTACAAGCAGCTGCCAGTGAAGCCCCCATGGTGGTGAATGATCAGCTCATCAACGCTGGATTCCCCTGATCCATGATGTTATTGTCGGTGCCATGCTACCTGTTGGAATTAATTTCACCACTTTGGGACTGTATGTGGTCGTGTAAGATGCGACCACTGCTTGGATTCACCGACCTTGGAGCTACTTGAAAGGGAGCGATGTTTCCACGACTCAGTGGGACTTAACAGTAAGTTTAAAACCCACACGTTAGGGTTTCTCACTTACCTGCTTTGTTTAGAGTGTTACACATTTCTCTTCATTGGTGTAATATATACTGTTATTTAACTATCTATGGAGAAAAAAAAATTCAAATTAATTAATGCCATTGCTTTTTGTCATTCTGTCCACCTTTGACAGAACACTGGCAGCAGGAGTTGTGCGCGTTCACAAACTGTCCTCGTTTTTAGGAAGAGGCTCTCTGATTTTATCATTCTGTAATAATTACAGACTATTTGGAGTTATGAGGGGTGCCAAGCTGATCTAGAGGTACCCAAAATTAAACATTAAATGGCTGGAAATGAGCAAAATGAGCAGCCATGGGCTCTTTAACTGTCTCAACTGTTTATCTTCCTGGTCCCCTGCGTTTTTAAACGATGTTCCCCCTTGCACAAGCTGTCTTTCTATCTCATGTCTTATGGAGTCTGCATCTTAAATTCCTCAACTTTCTGTATCACCCTTTCTTATGCAGATGAACTGGTACACCAAACGGGCGGCACTGACCGGCATCTATAACGCCACAGAGCTAGTGATGGTTCAGGATTCCTCTCCAGACTTTCAGGACACCTGGAAATTCCTTGACAACCGCATTCAGGATGTAGTTAACATGGCCACCACTGCCAAACAGGTAGAGTGGACTTCCATCCATTATCTATACCGCTTGTCCCGAAGAGGAATGCGTGGGCCTGGAGCCAATCCCAGCTGACATGGGACGAGAGGCGGGGTACAGCCTGGATAGGTCACCAGTCTGTCACAGGGCTGACACTTAGAGACAGACAACAACACACACCCACACTCACGCCTACAGGCAATTTAGAGTCACCAGTCAGCCTAAAATGCATGTCTTTGGAGTGTTGGAGAAAGTAGAGTACCCAGGGACTCCCATCTCTCGCATTACCCATCAGTGGAATAATTACAAAACTGACCTCAGATTGAGTGTCCTAAAAAAATGCCAATCTCCTTCTAAATATGGGTAAATATTAAACTGAAAGGAGATATTTTGATACATAAAACAATATTAGCACAAGGTGTTCAGAATATCAGTGTGAAAGGATTGAAACTTGGTGTAAAATATTAAACTCTGACAATTGACCTAATAATTACATTATGTTGTTATGTGTTACGCTTTCTTTTAAAGGTGCAATCAACTGGTGAAGCAGTAGTGCAGGGGCTAATGGGAGCTGCTGTAACAGTAAGCATTTGCCTCAGTGTCCTTTTTCATCATTAAGTTCCTTTCAGACATGATACCTTGGAATTTGCAGGCTACATGTAGCAGGTCCTGTTTTGGAGTTCAGACATGGAGCTGCTGTGTGTGAAATTCCTAGTAAGACTTTGTTCAAACCGATCTAGCCAGGTACCGCCACAATGCTCACATGACCGGGAAGCAGATTTCAACACAAGACCTGCTTCGGAACTCGGGGCTTTGTACAGACATGACGCCCAGATGTAAAGTAGCTGGCAAATTCCTGGCTAGGGGTGCATGTCTGAAAAGAGCTTTTATTCATATTTTCAAACTTTATTCGCCCACATTAACAGTCAAACACTTAATATACACCACTCAACATTTATCTACAGTGGGTACGGAAAGTATTCAGACCCCCTTAAATTTTCCACTCTGTTATATTGCAGCCATATGCTAAAATCATTTAAGTTCATTTTTTTCCTCATTAATGTACACACAGTACCCCATATTGACAGAAAAACACAGAATTTTTGACATTTTTGCAGATTTATTAAAAAAGAAAAACTGAAATATCACATGGTCATAAGTATTCAGCCCCTTTGCTGTGACACTCATATATTTAACTTAGGTGCTGTCCATTTCTTCTGATCATCCCAGAGATGGTTCTACACCTTCATTTGAGTCCAGCTGTGTTTGATTATACTGATTGGACGTGATTAGGAAAAGCCACACACCTGTCTATATAAGACCCTACAGCTCACAGTGCATGTCAGAGCAAATGAGAATCATGAAGTCAAAGGAACTGCCTGAAGAGCTCAGAGACAGAATTGTGGCAAGGCACAGATCTGGCCAAGGTTACAAAAAAATTTCTGCTGCACTTAAGGTGCCTAAGAGCACAGTGGCCTCCATAATCCTTAAATGGAAGACGTTTGGGACAACCAGAACCCTTCCTAGAGCTGGCCGTACGGCCAAACTGAGCTACCAGGGGAGAAGAGCCTTGGTGAGAGAGGTACAGAAGAACCCAAAGATGACTGTGGCTGAGCTCCAGAGATGCAGTCGGGAGATGGGAGAAAGTTGTAGAAAGTCAAAGAAAGTCAACCATCACTGCAGCCCTCC